ACTTCTTCACGGGAGTTTAACAATAAAAGTTTAAAGTCCTGTATTTAAATACTAACTATCCTTATCTACGTATAGGAAGTAGGGCATGTAAAGGAAACACGTATACAGGACTCTAACAAGGGAGGAACATAGTTTACGGATGTCGAATAATTTTTGAATAATTTCGGGGACGAAGTTATAGCTATAACGTGTTTCCTTTACATGATAATGATGATGACAATAGTGATAAAAATAGTCATTTGTTGTTGACAGAAAAATTAGCATCCCCCTACCATTGCAAAAATAATTTAACATCCCCCCTTGAACACCTGAAAAATTTTATGACCCCCAAATTTCCTCTCCCCCCCCCCTCCTTCCCGCCTGTGGTATACATAATGAATGCAGCCTCATACAACATGCAACAATGGTTTATCAGAAACTTGAAACAAAAAACTTGATATCTTCAAAGTACAGTATTGCCAACTATATCTCTATTGCACAAACCACAACATGATGATATTGGAATGAATGATGCTCACGACTTGAATATAAGGATGTAACAGGATGACTGGGTGGTCAAATTATTATTTATTTTATTAATTATTCATACATATTAATTACTTTCATATTACCTATATATTATATATATATATATATATATATAATTATCAACTATGACCCTTTTGTGCATATATACAGGTATATCAAAAGTATATCGAAAATTATGGGATGTGATCCTGATATTGTTTTCTAGTCGTCTGTCACTAGGGTTTTCTGAAAAAAAATATTAGAGAGGATACCCAATAATATTTGATATACTTTTGATATACTTGTATATATGTGTAAAAGGGTCATAGTTTATGCATAGGGCTGTATATATGTAAAATATTATCCCATGGTGTTCTGATGACAGAAACTGTACAACTCTTGATGCAGTGCACATTTAGTATGAATAAACTTTTACACTATCTTATGTGTCTGATAGCTGTTCTCTTCCTGCATGCCTAGCTTGTCTAGGTACTCCAATCAGCTGTTCCATCAAAAATAGATGAATTTTAAAAAACGCATAAACAAACGCTACAATAGCAGTCTTCGTAACATTAAAATCATTTCAACCTACCTTTTTCTCAAGATGCGACGATATTTTAGCCAACCTCTTGCCAGATCCAGAGATCCCTGATTGCATGTCTTTTACTTGTTACTTGCTCGAAACCGGTCATGTTGGACAGCAGTTACTATAGTAAAGAGAAAGAGACTGGTAACTAATTCAAAATGGCGACTAGAAGCGAAGGTTGTTTGAAGTTCTGTGCAGAACAACTTACGAAATCTGAGAAAAAAGCCCTTCGCAAACAGAGGAGTAAGATTCATTCATTGCAGAGAAGCAACACGGAGCTCGTAGTGTCAAAAATACCTACATCGCACTTGCTAGTTGGAAATGGCGGGCTGATGAATGGGATTAATCGATCACAGATTGGTGGTTTGTTCAAGTCGTTCGGTACCGTGGAACGAGTCGTTATGCTACCACAACGATCTTATTCTTTTGTCTCATTCAAAAATGTTGAAGATGCAAGTAGAGCTATGCAAACTGTCAATGGTAGAAGGCTAGATCCTAGCTTTGAATTTAGTAAAGCAGGTGTGGTGCTGTATTTGTCGTACCTGACCAACCTCCCTGACGACATTGTTGTGGACCGACAGAATCTTCCCCAAGGACTCGTCCTCGTGGAGGACTTTATAAGTGATGTAGAAGAAAAAAAACTGTTAACAACATTAGGTTGGAATGATGGAGAAAGTATTGAGAGCAATTACAATGAGCTTCCAGTAACTGGTACACAAATTATATTGTAGGGGGGAGAGGAGAGGGGATCTTTTGACATACATTGCATAAACAAAAATAATGATACAATACAGGGTAACACTTTAAAGATAAATGTTAATCGAAGTATTATGATCATCCTGGTGGATGTAATCCTGAGAAGGACTATTTGATGTGACTAACATTTCAACAACCTGAGCAGAAGTCATCTTCAGAGTCAAGTGAAGAATAAAGTCAGATTGGTCATATTTATACTGCCACAATAACAATAGTCTAATTACTTGTACTGGAGAGTTAGTTTACCAAGTTTGAGCATCTGCATCCACCAAACCACTCAATTAACTTACCAGCTCCGTATAATAGGCTTATTAGAAACAATAAAACCACCCACAACACTGAAACAGCGACTCACACTCTTTAGATCGATGCCGCCAATTACCCAAATCCAGGTGATTAGGCTATTGCTATAGGCTATCAGGTTGTCGAAGCATCAGTCACATCAAAAAGTACTTCTCAGGACTACATCCACCCAGATGATCATAATACTTCGATTAACATACATTCACCTGGGTTCAGACCGTTCTATACAATACTTTAAAAATAGTAAGAATGATGGCTAGCTGCATACATTTTGACAATATATTTGCATTAGTCAAGTAATGAAACAAAGCAACTTGGCAAGAACTATAATTGCGATAATTGTCGGCAAATTAACATCACAATATTAATTTTTGTAAACACCAGCTAAGCACTATTATACACTTTATGTCTGGTACAGAGGGAAATAGTTTTGTTTTCCCAAAAAGTCTTGGTGTTTCCCAACTCGAAGCTGAGTGAAACATCAAGTCTCAAGAGTAAACAAAACTATCTAATTTCCCAAGGGACCAGAAATTAAGTGCTTTGTTATATAGCAATCAAGAAATTATGAGGAGTCAATTTGCAAAATAAGAACTTTATTTTAGCTAGCTTTTATAAGCTTAAATGCAAAGGAAAACTGACTAATAATTTGACAAGGTCTTGTATTTCTCTACAGAATGCAAGGAGAGTAGTAACAGCATTTTTATTCACTTTTTTGTATCTTCTGAACCCTTTTTCTCAATGACATTCTGTATTTCTTCTGTAGAAAGACTGGAAAATCTCTCGTTCTAATCACATTTGCTGCAACACGATCCAACATATTTTGGGCTAGCACTCAAAATTTGAATTGCATTGTTTCTGCCCCATAACATGGCTGAAGTGATAGCACTTCTTCATATGGTTGAAAATACGAAGCCAATGTTACTGTACAGTAGCTAATTCATCATTTTATTTTGCTACAGTGGAAAAGCAGCTGAAGCACAGAAGAGTTAAGCATTATGGTTATGAATTTCTGTATGGAACAAACACCATTGATGTATCAAAACCACTTCCTGAGAAGATCCCTGAAGTTTGTAGTGAAATTCTGGACCGGATAATGTCAAGAGGATACATTAAAAATAAACCAGATCAACTTACAGTCAATGAGTATTACCCTGGACAAGGTAAAACAATTTATTATAGTACGAAAATATTACTACTGTAATATTATTTTTTTGTTTGCTAGATTCTTGATGTGTAAATCTGCCTTTAGAACAAACTTGTACTGTACCATACCTAAAAAAATTGCAATTTTTTTTAATTGTATTTATTTACTTGAATAGTTTTCATGGTTTTTTCTTGGTATTTGTTCTAATGTAATCCTTAGGAACATTTTAGATAACACCTCCCTGGATAATCTTAAATAGTTAAATACTTAGATAGATAATTTATTGTCAAATATTCCTTGATGGTATGCACATCCATGTTTCAATGATCATGTTAAAGAATCCTATGTGTTATGTGTTAAAATCAATGAAACAGGTCATTTGACTGAAAAAATGGTTTTGAAATAGGAAATATCTTTACATTCTGATTAATTAATCATCTTTTTTTAAATCATTATATTTCTTATAAAGGAATTCCTCCTCATTTTGACACACATTCTGCTTTTGAGGATGGTATTGTATCACTCAGCCTTGGTGCCAAGGTAAATATAAATTGCATGCAGTTATTTGTCTTCTGAATCTGGATTTACAAGTCTCCCCGATTAGTAGGGTACTTGTGCCCGGCTAGAAGATAGAGACTTAAATAAAGTTATTATTATTATTATTATTACAACAACTCGGTGTGGATGGAATGCCTGATAGGTTTTACGACCCACTAGATAAGGCTACCAATGGTTGAATTACAATTTAGAATTTCATTTTTTTCAGAAAAAACTCTTGAAGCACAAAAAATCACCCTGGAAATCAAACTCAGGTTGCATTAGTGAGAGGTGGCGCATAAGTGGCTCCCGCCACCAAGGGCAGATCCAGGGGGAGGGTTTGGGGGGGTCACGACCCCCCTGTCATTCCTGAGGTCAAATGGGCTTCCTGTGGTAAAAATGTGACTGGGATTCCTTTGCTCACAAAATTTTCCCCTGAGACCCCCCTTCAAAAAATTTTTGGATCTGCCCTTGCACCACCCATGCTTCCCTAAGCATTCTTTGTAAACTTTAAGGTTGTTTGGTCCATTTTGGATTGTTTTGGCCCAATAGCCTTGTCAGTTTTGAAAAACAAAAGATTTGACTGCAATAAAAGGTATTGCAACAGAGTAATGGTGATCAAGTTTGGCAGTATTTAGGTCTTAATTCCATATACTGACAACCAAATTAATGTTCCTATTCAGATTTAATTGATACAGTTAACTGAGGTATCATAAGGTACTCCATGTGATCAACAGTATAAAATTAACGTTTCATTACGTCAAGAAATCATTAAGAATCGTTCGTGCATGGAGTTAGCAGGTGCTTGTAACCATTTTTCTTTCAAACTGTTTGCTTTTTTTTCATAATAAAAAAACAATTAAAAAAAGACATCTCGGCTATGCCTCATGAGTACCTAACACTTTGACCAACTGTTGACGTTATGTCATGCTAAATAAGAGGACATACCATGATAAACCGTCATAAATTTGTAAAATAGCCAACCTTGCAATCTGCTTGCCCATGATAGTGGAATAAAAAACAGCAAATAAAGATGATGCAAATCAAAGACCCTTTATGAAATAAAAGTTAACAGAGTTGAAGATGGTAAAAGCAAAACAGCTGTCTTTACTAAAGATAGCATGTTGGTGTTTTCATTTTAAAAAGCTATAAGACAGATTTAAGTATTATTTGACTCATGGCAATGGGGAAGTACTAGTAATGATGATATTCAATGGGGCCTTGGTCAATTTTAAGTTAATAGAAGAACCTTTTTTCTGATGAATAAAAATTGGCTATCAACAGATAAGCATGGAATTCCGTCATCCTGATGGTCATCATGTCTCAGTCATGTTACCAAGGAGAAGCTTGCTAGTTATGACACAAGAAAGTAGATACCTCTGGACACATGGGTAAGATTCATAAGATTCATAAGATTCAAATAAATTGTGCAACTGAAGTTCCTTTTTTCTACACTTTTTTACATTTGTTGTAAATTGACAACAAGGTAGAGTACAAACATTATGAGTGTGTAACATAAATACCACTAAATTATGCTAATCCTATTGTTTTCTATTGTTTAATTAGCACTATTTACTACTAAATAGTGCAAAGTGTTGCACACTTTTAGTGTTTGACTCTAGAACTCTTTCCTCTTTCCATTAAAAACAATTTTTTTTAAATTTGATTTATTTATTTGTTGCTTTTTTAGAATTACTCCACGAAAGTTTGATATTGTAAATGAAGCTCAAAATTTAGAGAGTTCCACTGAAGATAAGGATGACACTGCATCAGGACTTACTCAGTATGAAAGAGAGACACGGGTATCCTTGACGTTTCGTAAAATCCGGCACGATCCATGTAACTGTAAATACCACAGACAGTGTGATTCGCAAAAAGACAAGAAACAATTCTCGGCCTCCGAATCCATGTATTACAGTTTACCTAACACACAGCAAGATGCTGAGAGTTTGGAAAAATCGCACGTCCATGAAGTATACGAGAATATTGCCGATCACTTCAGCGACACACGCCATTCTCCTTGGCCAAAGATTTCCAAGTTTTTGTTGGAACTTCCCAAGGGAAGTTTAGTCGCTGATGTTGGATGTGGAAACGGGAAATATCTTGGTATAAATCATGATATCTTTAAGACTGGCTCAGACAGGAGCAGCAATCTTGCAGCTATTGCAAAAGAAAGAGGCCATTCAGTAATTGTATGCGATGTTTTGAATCTTCCATATCGGTAAGTAACTCCTACTCGAGCACCAACTTTGGCCTTATATAACGCTGTTGACAGGTTCTTGAAATCTAACGCGCTCTCAGTTTTCAGCTAATAACATTATTTCATTTGCCAAATACCGCTTGGGGATTTAAATTTTTCGTTTTCAGATCATTTTTTTCATGCGGTTTTATAGTGTGCCAGTTTTACTATAACCCTGTCGCTTCCCTGTTGGTTATAACGTTTCGGTTTTTCGCCAGTTCTTGTAATGACTTCACGTGTTTTGTTGTTGTTAAAATTTTGTTGGTAGTATTTCATTTTTTTGCACCCCGTAATGTTCCCACACACCTTATATTATTATATTATATAAAGCAGCATTTCTTCCATACTGTAGTTTAGTTTGAATTGGGTTCAGTTTATTGGAGTTTTTAATCCCTGAGAATGAATTGTAGGCATATTTTCAATGTTTGATCATTCTTCTATGATGGCCTCATCTTACTACCATTACGAAGATGCTTCGCGAAATTTTTTTTTTTTCAAATTTGTACTTCATCATGAGAATATAGTACAAAAGAAAGTACGCAAAGTATTCTGTTAGTGGTAGTCAAGTGATGCCATCATGCAAACGCTCTATTCCTTTTACTTCAAAACAACAACAACAAAAAACTTGTAATGATCAACGCAAAAGGATACCAACGGAATCGTCGAGTGATGAGTGTGATCGTCAAAGCAAGCTCCAAAGTACTGAAAAACAATTACTATCAAAATGACCGGTTGATCAGTCGATGATTTACTGATTTTGTTGATACTTCTTCTTAGGTCTGGGGCGTTCGATGCTTGTATATGCATCGCAGTTCTTCATCACTTATCGACGTCCGAGCGCCGACTTGAGGGACTGAGGGAACTGGTGCGGATCGTTGGACCAGGAGGACTGGTGCTTATTTATGTCTGGGCTTTAGAACAAAATTTAGAGAAAGTTAAAAGGGATAATTTGAGGGAAGTTGAGTTTGATAGGAATACCAGAGAATACCTTGAGACGAAAAAATCCTCTCCTGATGAAACAATTACTTCTGCTTGTGAAAAAGAAGATGAGAGCAGAGTTACAGGTGATCACACGAAAAAAGTTAAAGTCAACAAAAAAAGGGAAGTATTTGAACAACAAGACTTATTTGTCCCTTGGAAATTTAGAGGAAGAAATCAAGGTAGCAGTGAGCAGCAGCAGATGAATGGTAAATCAACGAGTAAAAGTCACGTGTTTCATCGTTTCTATCATGTGTTCAAGGAAGGCGAGCTGTTGGGGTTGTGTTGTCAACTTGAAAATGTCATAATTAAGGATGTGTATTATGATCGAGGCAATTGGTGTGTTGTTTTACGAAAAGTATAGCTGAAGTATTTGGGCTTTAAATCATGCAAGTCTTCAGCTACATAGGTAGGGAATCTACAAAATATGACTCTACGACTGCATGCATCTGTCTAGCTCAGCAAGGATAAGAACCAGTCTGATGCCGACCAAAGGGGCACGTTACTTACACTGAGTCATTTCAGCCAAATCAAAAAACCACATATTAATAAAGCTATTGTCAGCGGTCTTATCCACGTGTTTAAGAAGGTCCTTCTCAGTTATTCTCTGCCCCCCTTATTCACGCCATTCCGTCGCGTGAATGACACTGAAATGATAAAGTCTAATCGATCGTAGCTTGTTTCTAAAGACAGCGTGAAAATGATGATGAACTAGATCTGTTGGGAAAGCGCGCGGAATCGAAGTTTCCTGATGGGTGTCAATCAAAAAAGCCGACAGTAGTACCAAAAAGAATCTTACTAATCTTCTTCTTTGTAAAACTAATAAATAGTAACTTTAAGGCCCCGTCCACACGTATCCGGAAATTTTTGTATCCGCAATTTTTTTTTTGCGGATACGGGTTGCGTCCACACGTGTCCGGAAATTTTTGTATCCGTATTCGGAAATTTTCGATAACGGTCTCCAGAGTGGAAATTTTCGAATACGCTCCAAATACGGATGCGTGTGGACGGTCGTATCCGCAAATTTTCGAATACGCTGACGTAAACACGATTTTGCGCATGCTCAATAAGAAAAACTATCCTTCAAAGGGACTAGGCACTAGCTTGTATCGATCAGGGTGGATCAAGAAGTTTCCGGATACGTGTGGACAGTGAAAACGATTCGAAAACGATTCGAATACACTGCGTGTGGACGCGAACATTTTCGCATCCGMAAAAAAAAAAAAAAATTGCAGATACAAAAATTTCTGGATACGTGTGGGCGGGGCCTAAATAAACAAATAACCATCTGCCTGGTAGTAGAAAAGCTACTACTAGTTAAGTTATGTACACGAAACATAAAAATATATCTTAATTTTGATGTCTAAGATTTTGACGTAATTTATGGAATTATTGTTACAGTAAATTTTTTTTTTTTTTTTAATCTGGACCTCACGACTCGGACCCATGACGCGAGACGATTACCCGGACTCGTTTCGATAGTCTGGTCGTGTGTCGACCCTTGGCTCAGCTAAATTTATGGTCCGGTTGTGTGTCGACCGTAAGCCCAATTAAACCGTGATCGGTTCGTGTGTCCACTCAGTTCCGCAGTCTGGTCGTGTGTCGACCGTAAACCTATTTTCGCTCCTAAAGCCATGAAAGGAGTACGCGTGGAATGTTATCATGACTTTCTGGGTGTGATTCCTAGGTGAGAAGCATTATGAATGCCCCCGGGTCGGCAGTTGCCTATTCAAGCGAGAAAATCCAAGGTTTCGACATCATTTGCTCAGGTTCGCCGTACCAGTCAGTCTAGACGAATTTTTGACCCCACCCACCTCCCCTTCGGCGACTTCTTCTTCATAAAGGTTTAGTCCGGTAGCTTAATCACAGTCTCGGCAAAACTCGTGTTCCCAAAACTTAACCGCGCCTATGAGGTGAATGACTGCTTTGGCGATGAAAATGATATATTATTTCTTTGACATGATAAACGAAATGGTTTCCAAATGGAAGACAAATATCAGATAAATAGAAAGGTTTATTATTCATTACCTACAAATGAATTGCTAATGTACTAAAACAAATTCATAATGACGCATACATCAAAAAGATCCCAGTTAAAAAACCTGCATTTATTATTAATTACCCACATATTTTCCTAGATTTTAGCCAACCATCATTGTCAGAAGATTGACAGAGCATTGGAGTATGCGTCAGAAGCTTGACATGGAAATTCATCTGGAGTTGCTTTAGGGGCACCAAGCCATGAATAATCATAGGACCCAAAAACTCACACATTGGTCGATCAAGGGGGTCCTTGAATTGATCCAAAAAAATACATTGTATGAAAGGCAAAAACCTCAAATTATTTTTGGGTTTGACTCCTATTTTTTTCATGAGTGACCCAAAGCAAGCATCTTCTACAGGAAAAAGAGGAAAAACCTTGAGGCTTCATAAAGTTTCTCGAGTAGAAAACCGCTAAAAACATATCCCCCACCAGAAATATAAGGGTCGTAAGTCGGTGATGGATAAATATCCTTTGATACGTAGTATCTATCCTCGGGATCCCGCTCGACCGAGGAGTTATCACTTTTTCGACCCATGTATAAAGGATTAGAGCCTCTGGTGGTGTCATATTTCTCAAGAAAAGAGATAAGCATGTCCGTATTTACGTAGCAATCCTCGTCTGTTTTTAATATGTATTTTGCGCGACAGTTTTTGAGAGGCCATTTCAAGCTGAGAACCATCTTCTTGTAAAGATTATTATAGATGTCCAGAAAATCTCCCTGTACTATGTCTCCTGTTCTGCGTGCCTCCATTTGTACCATCTGTTGAATGGTCTGGTTCTTGACTTTTCCAAGTAAAAATATTATCTTGTAGTTCCTGCATGCGAGAATAATCTTTATTTATTTATTTATTTATTCATTTATTTATTATTATCATCATCATTATATAGTATCGTATATAATTATTTTTTATTTTCTTTCACTGACATAGTTCACATAGCCCACTATGCGATATAGTGCGTTTTCTTTTTTAAACAACTTTTTGCGGATCGGATGATTAAGCAAAAGCCGGGCTTAATTTTCTTGAAATTCTCGTTAATCCTGATCACAAGAGCGGAACCTTGTTCAGCTGCTGGCAAGGTGAACAAACAATGGTCTACGTGGAAGCGTTCCATTATTATAGTTTTGTTACTATGTTAAAAAAGAGGGCTTTATCATGACTTACACAGTTACTGAGCAAACAACCATGGTAACTGACTTTGAACATGTAGTAGTTGATTTTTGTTGTAGTTATGGAAGTGTTTAAATGTATTTTACATGTAAGAGTTATAACCTTCAAACGTACAATAAATTATAAATCAAATTCCCAATAAAAGGTTTTTTAGACTCTCGTCGTTCACGATCATCTATATTCAGTAATTATGATAGGTTTACCTTTTCTCATCTAAGTCTTTGTTTCCCCACGACAAACGAATAGCTTGACGACTAAGAAAATTCTTTGGATGCGAATGAATCTCTATCAGCAAAAAGGGAGGCGTTAAGCATTCAGCACTCAATATGTCTTCCTTGAACTGCTTTGCTATTTTTTCTTTTCTTTGCGGCTCGTTTGCCATCTCCTCGATATTTTTTTTATATAAATGGAAGTGTAGGTAGGTTTTTTCTATGTCTTTACTAATGGCCTTTAAGTGTTGCAAGTGCACGATCTTTGATTTAGAGGCCTAATGTTTAAATTTATGTCGATGTATGAAAAAGAACAAGCTCACCGATATCACTAAGAAAAATAAGACGATACGTTTATCCCTAAACTTTCGACCAAAAGACATCTTAACTAACCTCCTTTGGTTCTTTAAATAAGCTGTGAGCCCTCACTGCAGATTTAGCCGCCTAAGTTATAAGGGCCTATCCAAGTGATCGGTCAACTGATTGTAAACTGGGAATGCAAACCCTGTTGCATTTATCGGTGTAATAATTTACATATGAATGCTAGTAATACAATTTAGCATATACCAACTTGCGTACTTCCTAAGAACGCGCGCGCTCATTGGTTAATTGGCGATGAATATTGTACGATATTCACCTCTGAATCTCGGAATATTGAGTCGGCAACAAAATGGCATCTGCCGGCAATCGTTTTGCTACAATTTCCGATGAAGAAATTGAAAAAATGAAAGTAAATGCCATTCCTATCAATACTAAAAAGGCAACGAAGTATGGCCTAAAAGTTTTGCTAAAAGTTTTGCGTGAATTTGTCACGCAAACCAAAAGTTTCTGTTTGTTTGTTTTTATTGAATTATTGTATATAAAAATAAGTTACTCTGTACACAAGTTGGTAATATTCGCCTCAGGCTCAGTGAATATGGAGAATATTCACCTCGCCGCTCAAAGACTCGCGCGAGGCTATCCATCAGTATCCATGTCTATCCATCAATATCAAAATTTCAAAATTTTGAATATAAACTGCACTAGTGATATATTTTTTCAAACTCCACGAGAACCCATTTGATTATCTTGTAATAATATGATCCTTTAAAAAAATAATCAAAAATGTTTTGACTTTTTTTTAGCAAACCGATCACAAACGATAATTTTTGATGGTCTCATTATTATATATATAATATAACCTATTATCATTAATCATAATAATAATCATAATCACAATCATAATGGTAGCCTTGGATACTAATAATAATAATAATGGTCTTTATGTATTCAATCAATAAACGACACATTGAAGGTTACAACAATAATAAGAAAAATCACTATAAAATCTATGAAAATCTAAAAACCTATATTAATAATAACAGCAAGTACAGATAAAAGTTAAGTTTACTTAAACGAAAAACTGAAATAGGATACTAAAACTGTACTGCTAAGTTATATTTAAAACGTAGCCTATTTACGAAACTATTTTTAAATCTTTCAGTATAATAAGGGCATTTGAGATGTACATGTTTTACTGATGAATACTTAAAATGTTTCCATGAAGATGAAACTTTGACATTATGTTTTTCCCCATTCTCCAAAGGAATTTACCAGCAGCTTCAAAGTACTCATCCTTCAAGATCTTAAGCGCAATTTAGAAACTTATGTAAAAAAATAGAGAAAATGAGTCGTGAAGCAAATAAACCAATAATAGCAGTTTTATATCAATCCTGATTAGTAAAAACATGCTCCTTCGAAACGACCAATATTTTTATATGAGCACCTACTAACTTTGAATCTCCCATAAAATCTAATATTTTTTTCGAGGAGATGGGATCTCATATCATGTGGTAATGACATCACACCTGTTTTAACTCTGGGTCGAATTTTAGCCCTAAACCGCATTATACCTTGAATGTTTGTCTTCCTCTGGGCGCAGTTTCAATAAAATTTATTGCAAGACAAGTTGCAGAGAAAATTGCCCTGTGTAATCACGCAGTCAAATAAAAATAAGTACGCTCACAACTATTTTCGCTCACGGCTACTTGTTGATTATTCACGCTTGACTTCCGCGCACCGAGAAAACCCCATGGAGCCACCTTAAACAAGAACAAATATTTCAATACGGAATTGCTGCAAAACGTGTTGCGCATTTAAAAATAAACTCAAGCATTCCCAAGAGGAGCAAAAGACAAAGACATGCTGGTGGACAGGTACGAAAGGACCTATAAAATGAAACGTCTTTTGTTAAATTCCACAAGATGACATATCAATGAATGTATGTTTCTATGGTAACATGTATTCTAGTTTACACTGAAAAATACACCTGCACCTGACAATAAACGGTTTCTTGAATAATTATGATCAACTAAAATAAAAAAATGAAGATGCATGTACTACGATAGTCAGTTTCAACATAATGCTTTATTACTGATTGACTGTTTACAGTACGTGCAGCCTAGTAGTCGGTCAAGGACTGTTTCTGTGTTTTAATATTATTCCAAATTGCAAACATTTCAAAATTAAATTATCATATTAAGTGAAGTTACCCTAACTCATCGTCATCAACTTTATGCTTCATAGAGTTCTTTCCACTTTTTAAAGGCTAACTTGGGCGAAGTAGCCTGCACATCATTTCTTGCACCATCATATAGCATCCGGCCATTTTCGTCAACCACGACAAGCTTCGGGATTCCCGAAACTTTGCATTCCTTCTTCAGTGAATCTATGAGCTCTTTATCACCAAAGGGAACGACAAACCAGTCGCCATGATGGCCTTGAAAATAGCTATTCATGTCATCCTCACTTCTATCCGACGAGACGAATACTATTCCTATCTGACATCCTTCCTCCACCAGTTCTTCGTAGCAATCTTTGAGAGTTGGGGTAAACATTCGACATGGCGGACACCAATGAGCTGAAAAATACACAAGTATAACCTTGTTCTTAAGTGCTTCCACAGCATTAACAAGCTCGCCTGATTTGTTCTTTAGTTTGTGTCCTTCGAAAAACCCCATGATATTCTTTCAGTGATGTCGTCAGACTTRATATTCTTTTATGATGGGTGACTCAAAGGGCGATTAACGGGCGACTAACGAGCGACCAATCACGGCAGCTGACAACGAGGAACGCAGGCTCTAGATAAGTGCAAGATGGCGGACAAGCCGGAAACATCAGGCGATAAAAAAAATCCCTTAGATGTTCGTATACTAAAAGGATTTGTAGCTGGAGTAATATTCTCTCATTTAAATAAAAGGTTGATCGGAGGACTTATTATTGGGACGGTTTCAGGGATATATATCCAGCAAAACTATATGAATATCCCAAATGTGGAATCGACTATCAAGGATTGGATTGAGAAAGCAAGACAAGCAATGGAGAAAAAAACACGTTAAGAACTGTTATAACTGTTTTAGCACTAAAAGACTTCGCCCTGAAAGAAACGTCCTCGATATATATGGCACAACGTGTGAGCAAAAGATAGGAGAATGAATCTTCGTGACAATTAAGCTAAATATATTGTCTACAATACATCAATCCTACGTACATTAAATCAAAGTGCAGATTTATGAGGATACACAAACATTTGCTCTTCAAAATCAACTCAATTAAATATTGTAAACCTATGAATATTATGAACTATCAGCCTTTGAATTGGCTGGCTGAATATGAACCTGCGTTGCCAATTTGGATTGCATTTCTACAGACGTCAGAGAGTGATCTACAGACATATCATAAAATAACTGTTAAATCTTGATTTCTGATTGGTAAGGGCCAGGGGTTTCCTTTATAACAGTACACATCGTCCACACATACTTTCTATTCATCATGCGTTTATACATCACTCAATTTTGCAAGTAATGACAACTAGATGTAGATGCCATTTGCACATAAGGGATGTTAATAATCTATGGGGTGGGGGCTAAGGAGGTTTTGAGGGGGCAATCCATTTTCTTTAGTAACAATGGTTTCCTTCACAGTTCCCTTTCAAGATGGCACAGGGGACTGTGAAGGGGACTAATAATATTTAGTGTCTAAAGTCTGTAGTTTGGGGGTCACTGAAACATATGCTATGTTTGACTGGAGGGCCACCCAAAAAAATGTTTTAAAATATGAAATCCCCGTAGCCCCACATCCATAAATTATGAATGCTCCCTAATATAAAAGAATGCTATTCTAGTTTGTACTGACATTAAATCGTTATCAGATTTTTAGCCTCCAGTAAATCCTTGGTTTTCAATTTATAGCAGAGTCCATTTTCCTAATAGATCCTGCCGATGTAGGGCATTATGCTAGTTGTGCGTGGATGGGGTAAATTAGCAATACTGTTAAAATCGTTTAGATGATTTTGACAGCTGCTGTATCAAATTACCAATCCTCTGCATGGTTTTGATAGCTGCCTCATTGTTTGCTCATGCACATTGAGTATCTAGTGAAAAACAGTTTTAAATCTGGTTTTGTAGACAGTAGTATATATAAAAAAGTTATAAGTATTGGCAGTCTCTCCTCCCCACTTAATAATTAAGGGAGAGAGAAAGGAGACTGCTTGCAGGGAAGCCTCAGTCTTGATACATACCTGTGACCCCTATGCAACAAATATATGACTGCACAAAAATTTGTCCATGGCTTATAGGTTAATGTTCTAGGTTACTATAATGCTGGGCTTGATGGGCTCACGATAAACAACACATTCCTTTTGCTTATCTAAATCATACAGCTTTAAATAATCAATGGTGTTTTCACATGAAGTCACATTTAGTTTCACAAGATTTAGTTTATTTATGAGTTATAAACTTTGCCAAATGGGCAGCAAAACGCCAAAGAGCAAAGCTCCACTCTGGGGATCCAAAAAAATTAGAGGTGGTTAGTCTGAAGTGTAGGCATTATGGGTGGTCACTGCCAGGGTTTCATTTCGTCTTCAGTACTTCTTTTATATCCCTTGGATATTGGTTAGATGAATTGGGAAGAAAGTGGACTGTCATTTTAAGTGATCATCTGAGCTACTTGCAAGTCTAGCCATTCATAAATGTCATTATAAAGGCAGCACAACAGTCTGATTGATGCTCTGTCACTAATGGTGGTTACTAATGGTGGTTACAGTTTGCATGTGAAAATGCAATATCAAAACGAGCAAAGATTCCCTGCTAGCAGAGTTGCCTTCATTGGCAATTCTTGGCAGAGAAAATGGGATACAGGCAAACAATAGTTTTGAAAAAAAGATATTACAGTGCAACTGCTGTAACTGTGGCCACTTAGCCCAGTCCAAAAGAGAACTAATTAAAATGTAGAATGAAATAAAATTATTATTTTCATCACTACAATTTAATTGGTTCTGGCCCTGATTATAGTACTCTTACTGTATGAGGGTCCTGAAGGTGACCTGGAATCTGCCTCTTTTGCACTGGGAAAATGGGATTTAGGTAAATGGGAATCACTGGAAAAGAAAACAAAATGGGATTTTTTTTGAAGGAAAAGTTCGGGATTTGGATGCTGGGAAGTGGGAAATTTGGGCTGAAAATGGGATTGGCGTTCTCCCCTCCCCTTCAGGATCCACTACTAAAGTACAAATGATGGAATGTCACTGGGCTTAAAGTCATATTGTTGATATTCTTTGTACATTCATAGAAAATAAGGTTTTCAGAGAAAGTCTCAAGAGAAAACATTGTAGTAACACTGATGCATCTCCTTTTTTTTCTTTTTTTCTAGTGAGCACATGTACCTGCAGATTATAGGCCTTTGTAATTACATCATATTTAATGCTTTTAATTGGCTCACATTCCTCCATTCCTAGAGGCATACTAAGAAGACCTGAAGAAAGTGGTGGTGTATTCGGAAAAGCTAATTGCTTAAGGATTCCAATCTCTCACTTGAGATATGCCTCATGATCATATACATGTACATTACTGACACCTCACTCTTACATCAGCTATCACAAACTAGCACATTTGATTGCATTGTTATTTAACTGACACCTAATTACCAACAACATACATCAGCGATGGTATGGATTGATCACAATAGTAATAATAGTGGACTCTAGGTAACATGTATAGGTGAAAGCACGACCCAACATTAACAATGATATAGCTTTTCATACTTTACACAATATTTTCAATACAGCACCAACTTTTAAATTTTGAATGTGTGGGTTAAACATCCAGGCTTATTTGTTTGTGTAGCCTAGAGATATAATTTATATTCATTTATTTGTCTTTCATGACTCACACTTATATGCACGCCTTACCCATACCTGACCCCATTGCACCCTTGTGTGTGATTTGAACAGCAACTTGCCTGGCATGTTATCCTTGCTTTGCTCACAAGACAAAAAAAATCACTTGCAAGTTTCTACTATTTTAGGATTTTAACATGAGGATTCATAATTGACATGAAACAATTAAGAGAATTGAGAGATGGCTGCTCTTTTTCTTACAACAATCATAAAAGAATAATCTAACTGTATACGAGTGTAGTAACTAACTCAATGTGGCACACCTCCAGCTGCCATTAATGACTGGAAAGTGCCAGGCATATTCAGATCTCTGTACTACTGGATCAAATGAATTTTTAAAAAACCTAAAATGGCTTTTGCCACTAAGGTCAAACATTATGCGATTCAATCTTGCCCACTTAAGAAGTTTTAATCTGTTATCATTTGAAAGAATTAGGCTGTGATCCCTCCAGTTATCATTTGAAACTATACTTGTCTTGCTGTTATTCATCCCATTTGAAGCTGCAGCATATAATAGCAAAAGATCATCATCGATATTTGACTTTATGAACCAGATTTCACAGTGCTTTCTTAGTACTTGGAGCATTTTTTCAGAAATATCATTTTCCAGGGCTTTGTGATGTAGAGGGAGGAAAATCTTTTTTCCTTGTTTAGAAATATGACAAACAACTTGAACAAGTCTTTTTCCAAAGAGTTTTGTAGAATTCTCATTTTTCTCTTTTCCCTCAAGCCCAAGGTTCTGTCCATCAATTATCACATCAAATGGGCCCTTTGTCACACAAATATTGTGTACATCTTTCAACTCATCAATCTCGTGTTGACCGCATTTTAAATCATCACTTAAATCTGATAGTTTATGAATGATTTCTTTTTCCAAGCTGTTAAAGTATCCATTTGGTAAAGTATTTTCAAGCTGTACACCACACAGGTTACATTTTCCATCTTTGTTTATATCACAGTTCCTCCATATCCAAGAGTGTTTTGGATCACGAGTAAACCACCTTTGACAGGCTTCAAGGATATCAAATGGGATTTTTATTCCAATCTCATGAAAGAAATCAAATAACCGTAAAACCAGTGAGCGTACTTCCTTAACCTCTGAGTCATGTTCATTAGTTAAAGTTCTCAACAGTGGTTTCTGCAATGGCTTATCATTTACACAACAATGGATCATTGCTACAAACATTTTTGTATCACGCATAACACTTTCTCTCTTGTTAGCAATAAGGTGATACATTTTGATTTTCTTCTGAAGAAGATGAAAGGCCTCTAATGCATGCCCTTGTTCTGCCAGACTGGTAATAACAGGATTATAAGACCTTGTGTGTTTCATAAGCTGGTTCTCCTCCATGTCATTCAAAACACCAATGGCTTCCCTCCACATCTTTCTTGCTGTATATGAACGAATAAGTGTAGTATTTACACCTTGACCCATGTGGTAACCATGTTCCTTCATGGTTTGGTAAAGTATGTCTAATTGACTGTGTTGTCCATTATTAGCTAGAAAATGCAAAACTTTGCTAAGAACTTGAACATCTACTAGTGAGCAGATTTCGGCGTATTTAGTCAATGGCAGTTCTACTGTCTGATCTGTTACCAAGTTGAGGATATTGTGAAGCTGAATAACATTTGATTGAGGAAGATCAGACTTGGAGACATAGAGCCTGCAGAAAAAGTTCTGACTGGAGAAACGTGCGTCAATCAACTGAACTTTTCTAAAAGGCGTTCTAACTGGATGTCTATAAAGGACGTATTGAAAAAGTGCAATCCGTTGAACCCACAATCGTCCTTGCATTTTTCTGTCAAGTGGTATATTGGAGGTATTTTGAGAACATTTGACAAATTAAGATTAAGATCAAGTGCCAGCGATCTCTGTGTGATCAGCAGTATTTAGTACCCATACTCCCTTTTAAGCTCGCACACAGGGAATCCACATAGAGCACATGCATTTTTGGCAGTTTCTACCATGAAGGCGAGTAGTGTCGTTTTGCCTCTTTGCGAGAAAGATTTTATTTTGAAATGCATTCGAGATAGAAAGGTATATTTAATTCATTTAAATTTACTCATCTCAAGAACTTTTTGTGGTTTTTATTTCACAATTTGACTGGTTCTTTCCTGGTAGGCAAGCACGTTGCTGATGTTTAGATTTATAATATTTTCAACCTAACTTTATTTTTGCATTTCAACTTCTCTTTTGAAGTTATTACTATTAATTATGTGTTTAAATATGCTCAAATACACGGCCATCAACTGCTGTATGTTGTCAACACTCCTGTACCACAGCTAGCCCAATCATTTGAGCATATTTTCCAATCCAACTGATTTGTTTGTGTGTGTGTGTGTGTTGCCTTGAAGAGGCTTGATGGAAGAGAAACTTATGACTACAGAAAGATCAAGTTGTCCTTTGATGTAGATAGAGGTCATTGTGAAGTTCAATTAGGAAAAACCAGGTAAACATACTTTGTACCCCTTCCAAGAATGATAGTTCATTTTGGAGGGACTCCCAGGTTTAATTTTCACATGCCCATTGTTTATTTTGAACATTTCCCAAGGCCCTCAAGTAAGGGTCCAATCAAGTTTGTCACTCCAAATATGTATCATTTATTTGTTAATTTCTATTTTAATTGCACATTGATGCTTGACGTAGTTAGTCTTATCGTTTTAGTTATCTCCTAGTATTAGTGTAAGTTACCTTAGGAGTACAGTATGCCTATCTACAGGGCTGTCAACTCTCCCGGATAAACCGGGAGTCTCCAGATTTTGGACCGTGTCTCCCGGTCTCCAGATTAGAGTATCAAATCTCCCGGATAATCCCCGAAGCTGACCATTTCTTGTCTTGTGAGACTAGACTTTCACAACCATAAAATTCCAATTATTTCATGTTGTTTGTGTTATTTTATATCGCTAACAAAATCAAAACGTTCCTCATGAACTGTTCTTGCAAGCAGGCCATTGTAATATAAGCGATAATCTGATTGGTCAGAAATAAACCAATCACATCAAATGTTACAAAGYGAAAGACGTCTTTTYGYRYGCTTTTTGACGYGCTGTGATGTCATGTCCCTTCCCTATCAATTCTCCAGATTTGAATATCTCGGGGGTTGACAGCCCTGTATCTAAGTATCTTATATTAACAGAGCTTTGAATTCTGTGATTCTTACCTTGACTGGTTGATGCACACCCCTCCCCCATGTTGAACTATGCTTTAGCTAATAATTATAACTTACTACATATAGCATGTACACACATTTTTTATTTCTTCATTTTCTTATTGCTATCTTACAGGGTCTTAGCTCAAGTTTCTTGTGAGATAACAAAGCCAAGACAAAACAGACAAACAGAGGGACAGTTATTTATCAATATTGAATTGTCCTCAATGGCATCTCCAGTATTTGAGGCAGGAAGGTAAGCATATATATATATAATTAATGCAAGAAAATATATGGTTTAGAGTAGTAGAAGCCAACTGTGAATGTCTGATAATATGACTAAGAAGATCTATCAACAAAAATAATCTAAAAAATCTAAAATCTACTAGCTTTAACTGTTGTATATCACCGCGTGGGACAATCACAACAGAGCTAGGCTCCAAACTAGGTGAAAGCCCAAAGATCGAATTAGAATTTAGTAGTTGATTTTTAGGAGGGAGGAAAACTGGAGAACCTGGAGAAAAACCCTCGAAGCACAGGAGAGAGCCAACAAACAACTCTTCTCACATACGACATCGAGATCGGCAGGAACTCGAACTTGGGCCGCATTGGTGAGAGTTGGCGCATTAGCAGCACACACCACCGGTGCTTCCCTAAATGATTCCAATTTGTAAAATGATATTATTGTGTAGTTCCAAAAATCATCATCCATTCCCCCCCCATCAGAGGAATTTGGAAATTCCAAGCTGTAGGGGGATTCAGAGAAAGAACAAAATTACAGAGTTGGTATGGAAGAAAATTGGAATTTCTGGAGGTAGGGGGTCTGAAAAAAGTATTTGTGAGGGGGGGGGGGAGGGGGTATGGATAATTTCTTGAACTACAGATTACCTATATTAGAAGCTTCCCTCAACTTTATAACTTACTAGTAAAGTTAAGTAGATATTTCTGGCTTGTTCACTTTCAAACCCTGAACTGCAGATACTCAATGAAATGCCAGAAAACAATCAAGCTACCAAAACTAATTTATTTTATTTTACTAACAAGAAAAAAAAAAGTTTTTATTTCTGATCAATGCTGTGTTTGGTCTGACCTCTAATGTCATTCCTAAAAGCCTTTTGTTATTTGCTAATCTTAAGGGGTTTTTTGTTTATATTTTCTGTCAAGTGGTATTGGAGGTATTTTGAGAACATTTTGAGCACCATCCAATCACAACAATGGTTGAAATTCTAAGGCTTACTAGAGTTTTCAGCATTTTATCAAACTTGCACAGTAAGAAACAAGACTCTGGGTTCAAAATTGGCTAATTTTCTTACATTTTTTAATTTCTAGGATGACAGAATATGGAATTGAACTCAATCGATTTATGGAAAGGTTCTTCATAGAATCTAGAGCTGTGGATATGGAATCGCTCTGTATTGTTGCAGGAGAAAAGGTTTGATGTTATGATATAAATGCTATTATTATTGTTAGGAACTGGTCATAAAGTAAAGGGGGGATTTGAAGGACTATAAAACAAGGTCAAAAAAATGATGACCCCCCAAGTTTCCATTCACAGAAGTGTAAATTATTTAAAATTTAATATTCAGTTTTATAGACGGCCCATTCCTTTTAAGAAGTTCAAAATTGTGTAATCTACTCCCTATTTTTACCCCGAACCTTCCACCACCCCCTTAACTTCACGACTACTCCCTTATTATATTTTTTATTGTTATTATTATAGTATAAGAAATCAAGAATCAAATAGGAAATAATGCTTTATTAATAAGCTAATCTATTCAGGTATGGTCAGTTCATGTTGATATCCAAGTTCTTGATCATGGTGGAAATATTCTAGACTGTGCAAGTATTGCTGCAATCACTGCTTTGACTCATTTTAAGTAAGTTTTTAATCTCTGAAGGAGCATTTTGTGAAAGACTAACTGTATATGACTGTCATTGATTTATATTTTTTAGCAATATCAAATTTAATGTTCATATGATTATATATACACAGGAGACCTGATGTTTCAGTTGTTGGTGAAGATGTAACAGTTGTAAGTAGGAAATTTATTCATTTATTTATTTGAGATTTTGCCTGTAGACTGGTGCAGCTGCACAATAGGACACAGGGTCCCCTTTGAGTTATATACACCAATAGCTGTTTTTTGATATTCTGGTTTTTTAATCAAGCACAAAAGGATACATGTCTGGGGTCGGGAATAAACATAATATTGTTTACAAAAGTGCCTATGTGAAAAACTTTCAGCTAGAAAAACTAAACAAACTAACAAACTTCTTGGAAATTGAATTGTTTCTTGTGTAAAATGATTGTATTGTTCCTGCCATCTATTATGGCTGCCGTCACATAATGGTTAAATCAAATTACCATGATCAGCTTGGTTAAAATAATTATGTTGTCTAAATCTGAATTAATAACCGCTGTTAAACATAGTGTATACTATAAATATTTAACAGCATTCTCCACAAGACAGAGATCCCGTACCACTGAGCATTCTTCATATGCCAATATGTGTAACTTTTGCTTTTTTTGATAATGGGTAAGTAATGTTTTTATATCCTTTTAAATGATAAATTTTACCAGTCTTTACATTTGAACATTTCCATGCCCAGTGCAAAAAAGCCTTTAATCCCAGAGTTCTTGGTTATAGCTTCCATGATGACTTAAATTGTCGTCTTTACTGTTAACAGCAAGAAACTCTGATCTCTGGAATCTGAGCTTGTTTTCTGGGTCATGTACATGTAATTACGTGTATTAGCCTGCTTAGCAGTGCTTTTACAGTGACGTATAAACTTTGCTTAAGGTAAAGAAGCTGATATCCCAGGAAGCAAATTGTGTTCCCCTTCACTATCAGTGGGCTGTATGGCATTAATAAATCCGGGGGGGGGGGGGGTACTCTTGCCCGTTTTGGGTAGGGGTGTTCCGCTGAGCCCCGGGAACCCTGACCCTGTTCCAGAGTAAGATCACTGAAGTAGTATAGGGAATGGGGGTTCCAGCGCAATCTCGACACGGGCAAGACCCGCGTCAAAAA